TTTGTGTATATTTGTATTCTGCAACCTTACTGAATTCACTTATTCTAGTATTAGAGTCTTTAGGGTTTTCTATATTGGGTATCTGGGTTATATGATCTTTTCTTACAGAAAATTTTCTGAGACTTAATTTCTAAAGATTACATGTTAGGAAATGTTTCTGCAAGGGAAAAATAAAAACCATTATTATTTACTGAGCACCTATTATGTACCATAGTGCATTAAGTATGTTACTTTTACATCTCTACGGAGTAGAAGCACTATTAACATTTCTGTTTTATAGATGAGGATATACTTGCCCGTCCACTTAACCCAATGAATGGAATTAGCAGAACATTTCCAGAATACATGTCAAAATCAAACTGTAATTAAAAAAGGTTCCCTTTGTAGGGAACTTACAAAGGGAACCTTTTATTAGAAATACATCACTAGATGTAGAAACCCAAAGGCTGTGAAATGTGCTGTGATGACATCCACTTTGCTGATACATGGCAAGTTTCCATCCTGTTTAATAACAATTTTGAGAACTCAGCAAGCTCTCAGAATTATGTATAAATCTCACTCTTAACCCTGGACTCCCTCAATGAATTTGAGAATTTCAAGATTCTTTCCATGTAAGGTGGAAATGGTTAAAGGCATGAACTGAAGAAACCGATGATAAAGAATAAGGATGGAGCTGAGTCTGTTCCACTCACCTAAGAGAAAATGGAAAATAGAATCATGGCATAGGAAGAACTCTTGACTGTCTGGACCATCCATTCCCATCTCCATTTGGGCCATATCCTTCAGGTTTCCAGGAAACCACATTGGGTCAGCCAAAACCAATGCACACAATGGGGATTCAGTAACTTGCCCCAGAGGCATATGCTTCATACAATCACTTCGTTGGAAGAAAAGTTTCCTAAAGCATGGAACATGCATTGCCTGAGGCATCATTTAGGTTGTCTGTCCAAAGTGTAAATTACTGGAGAGGCCTAGAAAACTAGAACATTGCCAGCCTCTGTAGATGCCACTAAAGAATCTACATTTTCAGCAAACACCTCATGGCACTCTGATGTGACCTCAAATTTGAGCCTGGAAGTAGGTAAGAAAGAATCCACTTTACCTTTTTTAACTAATAAGAATAACTTTATTCTTCAACTAGAACCTGTTTAGAAGACAAAAGAAGGAAGTAATGTTTAAGAGTAGTCCATTTGGGCATTCCAAAGTGTGTCCCTTAATTGGCAGTGGGTGTTTAGGGGGACACAACAGCTTGAAAATAGTCTTCTCAGGCTTATAGCTTTGGCAGCCCTAACCACCATGGTCTCATCTTGCCAACCTTGGACACATTTCGCGCTTTAGGAGAGAAAACTTCCTTTTGTAGCTGTTTATGGAGAAGCCCACTACAGATATAGCAATCATTTTTCCCTCTTTTCCCAAAACCACATTTCAAAATTTATATCAGTCTTTGTAATTGAATAACTAAATACCAGAACGAAATTGAAGTCACAAAAATTCATTTTTTAAGTTTAGAAAGCTATAGCTCCAAATACTAATAGTTTATTTTTGAGTGGTAGAGGAATAGGTTTTATTCTTCATGCTTCCCAGATTTTTAAATCTTTTACAGCGGCCCTCTGTTTTTATTTTGATTATAAGAGTTTTCACATAAAAATACTTTTTCTTTATTATGTTAGTCACCATACAGTACTTAGTTTTTGATGTGGCGTTCCACAATTCATTATTAGCATGTAACACCCAGTGCTCATTGCAACACATGACTAAAAAAATTCAGAGAGAAAGTGTGCACGTGAGCGGGGGGGGGGGGGCGGCAAAGGAAGAGGGGTAGAGAGAGAATCTCAAGCAGACTCCCTGCTGAGCACAGAGCCCCATGGGGCTTGATCTCATGACCCTGAGATCATGACCTCAGCCGAAATCAAGAGTGGGATGCTTAACTGACTGAGCAACCCAGAAGCTCCAAAAAATACTTTTTAAAGAAAGTGGACTTTGAGGCCTCAGAATAGCATTCTATTTCTTCCAGAAATACCATTCTATTTTTTCATCCTAACAGCAAAATGGGCAGTCCATCCTTAGGAATACAAAGTTCTCATCGAATCTTCTTAGTGGGCTTTTATCTATGCTCTTCTTTATCTAATGGCAAGTGAAAGTGTGATAGAAAGGAATATGCTGTTTTAAGAGAACATCTCAAGGTAGGCATGGGAGGATCCTAAATATTTTTATGTGAAGCACTAAGATTATGGTGCTGTATTTAAATTCTAGGATGCAAATTTCTCACGATCTAACATCTCTGAATTTAGTGTCTTTTAAAAAGTTTTGAGATATAATTCAGACATTGAAAGTCACCTTTCAAAGTGTAAAATTTGTTCAGTATATTCAGAATTGTGCAACCATCACTGTTATGTAAATTTAGAACATTTTCATGTAATCCTGAAAGTAATAATGTAGTAATTACTCCTTGACTCCTCTCTCTCAATGTTACTTATTAATCTATGTTCTGTCTCTGTGAATATGCTTATTTTCTGACATACAATATGTGGTCTTTTGTGTCTGGCTTCTTTCACTTGGCATGTTTTCAAAGTTCGTATCAGTACTTCATTAATTTTTATAACTAAATATTCCACTGTATGGATATATCTTGTTCATTCATCAGATGGACTTTCAGGTTGTTTCTACTTATTACTATGAATAATGATGTTATAAATATTCATGTACAAGTTTTTGTGTGAACATGTTTTCAGGTCTCTTTGGGTACGTATCTAGCAGTCACATGGCAATTGTCTATTTTACGTTATGAGGAACTGCCATACTATTTGTTCCAAAGTGGTTGTATGTACTATCTTACAGTCCCCTCCCCCTCAACAGTGTATGAGGGTTTCAATTTTTCAACACATTGCCAACACTAGTTAGTCTTATTTTAGCCATCATAGTGGGTATCAAGTGCTATCTCCTGGTTTTAATTTGCATTTCTCTGATGCCTCGGGATGGCAATCTTTTTATGTGCTTATTGGTTATTTCTATATCATCTTTGGTCAAAAGATTTGAGTAGATATTTTTCCATTTTTTTACTGTGTTCTTTTTATTGATGAGTTAGAGGAGTTCTTCACATATTCGGGATACAACTCTTAATAGGATTTTCAAATTCTATTTTGTGGTTTGTCTTTTTACTTTCTTGACCATGTCCTTTGATGTATAAAACATTTTGTTTCAATGTGGAATTTAAGAAATGAAACAGATGAACAGAGGGGAAAGAAAACATTTTTAATTTTGAAGCCCAATTTATTTTTTTGTGTCATATTTAAGAAATCACTGACTGATCCAAGGTCACAAAAGTTTACTGTTTTCCTCTAAGAATTCTATAGTTTCAGCACTCTGATCCATTTTGAGTTAATTTTGGTGTATTGTGTGAAGTAGGAATCTAACGTCATTCTTTTGTATGTGGCTATCTAGTTATCCCAGTTCCATTTGTTGAAAATACTGTTCTTCCCTCCTACACTGTTGGTGGGAATGCAAGCTGGTGCAGCCACTCTGGAAAACAGCATGGAGGTTCCTCAAAAAGTTGAAAATAGAGCTACCATATGATCCAGCAATTGCACTACTGGGTATTTACCCCAAAGATACAAAAGTAGGGATCCAAAAGGGTACGTGCACCCCGATGTTTATAGCAGCAATGTCCACAATAGCCAAACGGAGGAAAGAGCCAAGATGTCCATCAACAGATGAATAGATAAAGAAGAGGTGGTGTATATATACAATGGAATATTATGCAGCCATCAAAAGGAATGAGATCTTGCCATTTGCAATGACGTGGATGGAACTGGAGGGTATTATGTTGAGCAAAATAAGTCAAACAGAGAAAGATATGTATCATATGATCTCACTGATATGAGGAATTCTTAATTGCAGGAAACAAACTGAGGGTTGCTGGAGTGGGGGGTGGGGTGGGAGGGATGGGGTGACTGGGTGATAGACACTGGGGAGGGTATGTGCTCTGGTAAGCGCTGTGAATTGTGCAAGACTGTTGAATCTCAGATCTGTACCTCTGAAACAAATAATGCAATATATGTTAAGAAAAAAAAAAAGAAGAAGAAGGTAGCAGGAGGGGAAGAATGAAGTGGGGGAAATCATAGGGGTAGACGAACCATGAGAGACGATGGACTCTGAAAAACAAACTGAAGGTTCTAGAGGGGAGGGGAGGGGGGTGGGAGGATGGGTTAGCCTGGTGATGGGTATTGACGAGGGCACATTCTGCATGGAGCACTGGGTGTTATGCACAAACAATGAATCATGGAACACTACATCTAAAACTAATGATGTAATGTATGGGGATTAACATAAGAATAAAAAATAAAAAGAAAAGAAAATACTGTTCTTTTCCCATTGAATACTCTTGGCACCCTTGTCAAATGGGATGTATCTCACAATTGTAAGTGGCTGTTTTTCTAAAACCCATCTTACAATTCAGGGAATCTTAAGTGTTCCAATACTTTATCAAATTTAATTCCTGAAATAAAAGCCCATGTTAATGTGCATTTTCTTTAGGGAAATGAAAAATCCATTTCCCTCAAAAATATTAAGCCTCCTTAAATATCAATGTGATGAGAAACTACCAAATACATATATTTTCTTATGAAAGACCTATTAGTTTAAGGCTTGAAGGCTTACCCATAATCCTTATGCTGTTAAAAGTGAATGAAGATTGTCGCAAAAGTAGCCATATGACTATAATGAACATGGAGAAAATCCATTCTATGAGTCAGGTTGAATTCTCCTGGAAGTTAGATTTAAGCACTGATGGAATTTTTTTAATTAAAAAAATTAACGGGATTTTCAAAATCAGATTTAAATATGTATTGTGTGGAATAGAATACAGTAACATCAAGTATTTGGGATCAACTTGAAAGTTTGAGAAATGTAAAACTCACGTCTACTTTTGTGTCAACTTCGTATTAAATGTCCTGATAAACCCCCAGACAGCCACAGAGTCTGAAGACAATGACTCACAAACATACTGAGATTCGTTTAATAATTTTTGAAGATTTTTTTCCTGTAAAATGGCTTGTATTTCCACAGGTACAATAGTGAAGAAATAAACTTTTCAATTTGACATGAAATATAAAAGAACAGTTTTACAAATATATCCATAAAATTTAACTGCTCATAACACTATACATGGTAAATATGACCACCCCTTAACTTCTAGACTATTTAATACAGAGAAACAATGTCATCTCAGCTAAAAAGAAATAATTTCCCTTTCATCAAGTTTATTTTTGTTTAGAAACGGTTAAGTAGAACTGGAAAAATATTTGCTTCTTCCTATCTTCCTCTAGGGCTTTTTCACGAGGGCAAAAACTTGAGAGGATGTAAGTTTTACTGAAAAGAAACACTGAACCTTATTTTACTACTTCAGTAATGCTTATGCTCTTCTAAAAAAAAAAAAAAAAAATTCCTGGAGTTGTCTCATTGGCCTTTGGGTCATGAAGAAATAACAGAGCTCTGCTCTATTTCCAGCCCTGGAGAAGGAACTTCATACCCTCAGCCCATGAAGGCTGAACTACGGGGATACAAGATCGCCTGCCAAGGGAACGGAGTTGGATCTGGCTTAAGATCAAGGTTCTGTGGTTTGCCTATCAGAAATTCCACTGTTACAAGGCAAAACTGCATGAAGATAACTAGCTTGTAGCCAGCATGAACAATGCCGTGATCACACATCCTCTCACACGAATCCAAAGGCTTTCAAAAAGTTGATCAAAATCTTAGAACTGCAGGTAACAATTCTGTAAGCTATGAGAAAAGGAGAAAACATGCTCCCTTTAACTGTCAAAATTACCCAAATCACAATACTGAGCTCCCAAAACACAGGGGTTTGAGTTTTATGTAAGCAAAAATAAAGCAACTGAAGCTTTATGAAGTTTTCAAATTTCCTAATACAGTATCTGCAATAACTTAAGATTTCCCTATTGATACTGGAAATAAATTCTATTACAATCATGTATATGCCAGCTCCTGGCATATTTCTGCATCCAGATTCATCAGTCTCCTTCATGGAGCCCATCATTTTTCCAATGGCTTTCTCCTTTCTTTAAACCCTAACCCTGAAATTCTAGAACCAGTTATATCACGTGGCTTCCCTGAGGCACAAAGGTACCAAACTCTATAATTAACTATTGAGGAATGATAAATATGCTCTCTATTTATATTAAAACATTTTAATTCTTTTGGGCCACAGTTGGGGGAAAAAATAAAAAACCTAGAAAGTTTAATACTTACTCTGCAGTGTGAACCGTAGCCCTTTTTGCAAAAAGCGAAACCAAGTAAGGAAAATGTTGAGTTGCAGCATGCATGACCCGACAGCACCGATTATTAATAAAAAAAATTCCAGACTAGAAAAATATTCAGAGTTGTATTCCATCCACCTTTTTTTTTTTTTTTTAAAGTAAACTGACAACTGAAAAAAATTAACTATGGGAATACATCACTGGGGTTTTACTTCTGGTGACCTATTCACAAAAGGCATTTTGGTCAGGCCAAGATCAGGATAATCGGTCAGCAGTTTCCTATGTGGACACCTGGAGGAGTGGGACTCCCCCCTTAATGTGGTGGCAAGCAAGACAAAAAGAGAAATAACCTCTGAGAAGTTTCTTCTAAACTGCATTACTCCATAGAGCTGGAGCTCTTTATTCTCACAAACTGAACTACTCTCAGCTCTGGAGAAAACTCCTTAGTCCAAATTCTAAGCGACTCTTACTAGAAGCGGCCAACATGAGCATGGCTCCTTTTTGCAGACTTGTCCCCTCTCTGCTGTTCCTTCGGTGGAGTGGGAGGGGACCTCACTTGGAGGTCAAAGGAGATGCAATGTGGACAGAGGGCTGTGCACCATGACCCCCTTCCCAGAGCTTGGAATTTATTACTCCAAGTTCAACTTTTACTTCATTATCTCCATTTACTGAAAGTAAAAAACAAAACAAAAACCCACAAACAACTTTTCACATTGGAAGATTATTTGGGGGCATGTTTTGCATGTAAAACTGCTAGACCCTGAACTATTATAGTCCTTGAAATGGAAGATTACAGCAGATCGTTGTAACTTTCCAGAAATGTTTCTGATAGGGAAAATCCAGCCCTTCTAGGTACAAGGCCATTTACCTTACAAGATGCTTTTAGAGTATCAAGACTCCTCAAACCACCTTCTAGCCATAACAGCAAGCAAAGGGACTGTTGCCCCCTTTGCCATTTTGTGGAGCCCAAAGGAGCACAAACTGAAAAGACACTTTAAGTGAAAGCTAATCCTTGGGGACAGAGACTACCTAAAAAGGCTTTTGATACATTATGACTTACTCTACCTGAAGACAAAATGACATTACCTACAGAATAGAGTAAGCTAGCAAGAGGACTGTTTTTGGATTTTTCACATCACTTAAAAATTACCAAAACAAAAAAAGTCTCCTCCTTAAGGATAATCTCCTTTGAAAAGTAAAGCTTTTTTTTTTAAAACTGAGAAGCTGAACTTTCTAGATATTAGGTCAAATTAAGTAGCAGCAATCAAAGATCATCTAATCACTTTCAGGAAAAAAAGACATTCACCATGTGTTAGAACAATTGAAAATAGGGCAACATACTTCCTTGAATGGAAAGACATTCAAGTATGAATACAGTATGTGAGAATCCTATAAATTCTATACCCTTACAAAGGTTAAAATGTAGCATGGATCTGTAATGGTCAACTTAAGAGAATGTTAGTTTAAAATACTTGCTGCTTGTGGCGGGATCCGCTTCCTGCCGGCCAGCTGTGGCAGTCTCCGGGCCTAAAGAACCTTTACATTCTGGGAGCGGTGATGCTCTCAGTACGGAGGACCGAGAATGAGCATCTGAGAATTAGTCAAGACGAACGGAACGAACAGAAGGGTGGTGGCGCTCATATGAAATTCTGATTTAATTATTCCTCAGTAAACACTCATTTGCTCTCTTGAAATCAGGAATTTCAAATTCTCTCTGCAGATGTACCACTTGGTGTTGTGTATATCTAATGATCCCATTTAAATTTAGTTTGATTTGCAAACATTTTCGAAACTTACAGGGCTCCATAAGCTGGAGAAGGTGACAGATGGCAGGGAGGGAGTGAACCAGAATGGCTGCATCCTTGTGAGCTGTTGCTTTTCGGCTCCCAGAGTTTTGGCCGCCTTGAGAAAAACTTAACGAAACCCCAACAAGTGGTTTTAAAAAGTAAAACCTTGTTTTTAATCCTAAATCCTAAACATTCCAGTAAGCAGATAAACTTGATGATGTAGTACCTAGGCCATGCCACAATAATCACCCTCAATTACTAAATTTTCAGGAGTTGCTGCATTTTAATCAACTAAACAGTTCTGGCCATGCACGTGGAGTATCACGGACGTAACAAAAGGTGGACTAAGAAGTTATGGAAATTTCTTTGAAATGCCACGGTATTTGATGACTGTGTGGATGAAGTCATTGAATTCCACCAAAGTAAAAAACAAAACACGGCAGCATAGGGATGTTCTTTTCCCAAAAAAAGAAAAATCCGAAAGCCCCCGATTTCAGAACGCGCCCCTGTGCCTAAGGTCTCCTGCGCGCCCCCCCAGCCCCGCGGTATGGAGCGGCGGATTCCGCGCCACGCAGCTCCTAGCCTCGGCCAAGTACGTGCGGGCCCTGCACGGCTCGCCGGGGGCACCCACGGCACGCAGGGCGCACAGTAAGAGCCAGCAACTTCTGAATAAATTTCTTCTACGTTTGTAAAATAGGATTTAAAGTCTCGTCCAAGTTTACAAAGGAAACCGTCGTTTAAAAACCCCGAAGGTAAAGTAAAAGCATGGCATTTGAAATCCGATTGTTACAAAGATAGGATGGTTTCATCAAGCATACTTCAGGGACAATGCCGCGGTTTGGAGCATGCACCACACCACTGTGATCTTAAATTCCGGGCCTGTTGCATGGCCAGGGCTCCCCCTCCTCTGCGTCCCCTCCCCACCCCAGCCTCAGGGCCCACCCCTTCCCCTTAATAAACAGCATTATAAAAAGGTAAAATCTAGAGTTAGTGGCAAAATCTTCACAGTAACTTGTTAATAAAGTCGTAGATGGCTGTCAGGGGCGTCAGTCCACGGGACCTTGGAAAATTAATTTGATGCAGTTCTGTTCCCCAACCAGCTGCGTGGCACAGAAAGGGCAGGCGGCATGGAACGCGTGAGTCCCGTGAGGCAACGGGATCTGCGACCAGTATTTCGCGGACTTCTCTGAGCACACGTGTCCACAGGGGGTGAAAGCGTGAGTGGGGGGTCCGGCGTCGACATAGAAGCCCGCCTCGCAGCCGAGCCAGAGCGGAACATAGGGGCCCACAGTCCTGCACATGGGGCACTCCCGCTCGTTGGCCTCCGTGTCGCTCCGGTGGCCCCAGTTGTGGTAGCCGTGCACGTGGCCGCAGCTGAGGTAGGCCCAAGGCTGCTTCTCCTCCACCACCTCCTTCCTGCTGATGCTGGGGAAGGCCAAGGTGTTGAGCCCCACGGGACACTGCGGCCGCGCGGCGTTGATCTCCTGCCGCAGGGCTTCGATGTGCTTCTGCGTGGGAGTGTGGAACAGGCCGTCTGCCGTCCTCCAGAGAAGCGTGGCCCCGCAGAGGTCGATGAGGGAGCCGTCCTGCAGGACGTTGGTCTCGCTTTCCACCTACAACGAGGTCGACAGTCAGGCGGGCCTTGTAAAAACACAGTGCAGCCCCGCGCGCTAACATTCAAGCAAACACGGGCAGGCAGCGTCTCCCCCTGCCTCCCTGAGGGGCTCCAGGGGCGTGTTCCTCCCCGCGACCCGTTTGTTTCCTCACCGGGACACGGGACGGAATAGGGGTAGGCCACCCTCACAAGTCCTAAGCACAGATGCACCTAGCTTTACGTGGTCCATGGCTGTAGTGATTGTTTTAACCAACTTCACAAATCTTAGGTTTTCATCTTTCCTCAGAGTCAATAGCACCATTGCTCCTTGACCTCACAAGGGACAGGACATGTCCCACCGGTCCAGCAGTGGAGATTCCTACTCCTCGTGACTAGAGCCGATCCAGGTCCTTGTGGGACCCTGCGATAATGACTGCAGCGGCCCAAATAATGCCTGGGGATCCTTAGCTTCATGCAATCTATTGTTCGTCCTGCATTTCTATGGTTTGGAGCAGAAGCGTTCGCCATTAGCCATATTTTAAAATTTAAATTCAATCAGCCAACATATAGTACATCTTTAGTTTCAGATGTAGAGTTCAGTAATTCATCAGTTGCATATAACACCCAGTGCTCATCACATCACATACCCTCCTTAACTCCCATCACCGAGTTCCCCCGTTCCCCCACCCACCTCCCCTCCAGCAACCCTCAAGGGGTTTGTCTTCTCAGTTTGTTTCCCATAGTTAGGAGTCTCTCATGGTTTGCCTCCCTCTCTGATTTCTTCCCAGCAATTGCACTACTAGGTATTTACCTTAAAAATGCAAATAGAGTGATCCGAAGGGGCACCTTCTCCCCAATGTTTATAGCAGCAATGCCCACAATAGCCAAACTATGGAAAGAGCCCAGATGTCCATCGACAGAAGAATAAAGATGTGGTGTGTGTATATATAATACACACACACACACACACACAATGGAATATTACTCAGCCATCAAAGGATGCAATCTTATCATTCACATCGACGTGGATGGAACTGGAGGGTATGATGCTGAGTGAAAGAAGTCAATCAGAGAAAGAGAAAGGCTTCACTTTTAAAAGGATGGCACGCTACACCCCAGGTGCTTACAAGTCGGACTCAGAGCTGATGAGTGGCTGTTAGACACGGCAGGCAGGAATCCACCCACTGCCTCCACAGACCTGTGTGCTCTAAGGCCTGGGGGTAATAAAGCTGCTCTACCCATCCTGCAGAGCCCTCGTCTTTAGGAGCGGGAGGCAGACATGCTAGAGCCAGGAGCCAGCGACAGAGCGCTGCAATCGTCACGTGAGGCCACGTCACCAAAGCGGCTAAGAGCGGGGACTTCACAGCCCGTGGCCTTGGTGTGCACTCTGGCTCGGTCATGCACTAGCTCTAACCTGGGGCAGTTACTTCAGCAGCCTGAGCTTCAGTTTCCCCTTCTGTAAAACTGGACAAGAGGAGGGTGAGCATTAAATACTACAAAGAAAGTTCTTAGAACCCCGTCTGGCATGCAGTAAGCACGATGCAAATGTTTGCTACTATTACTGTGATAGGAGGTCAGAAATGCTTTTTAAAAAAGATTTCTCTTGAACAGAGATTTGAAAAAAATGTCAGGAACTAGTGGGTGGCAGAGAAGACACTCCAGAAAGAGGGATGCAGAGGCCACACGGCGTGCACACGGAGGGAGCCGCAGGCCTGCTCTGGGTGACCAGCGGCCGGGCGGGGGGGTGGTGGAGGATGCAGAGCTTTCTTGGAAAGCAAAGCTTTCCAAAAGGCCTTTCCAAAAGGCCACTTCAGAAGTGTGGAGGAGGGAATGGATGGGTGTAAGACGAGAGGGAGACCGTGGGAGTTCTCTCCCAGGCAAAGGGGGGGGCGCACCTCAGCACAGATTATCAGCGGCACCAGCCAAGACAGAGAGTAAACGCGGAGGACTCAGCTCATGACCTGAGAAGACAGATGTACGGATCTGGCTTTATTGTCTGCATAGGAGGAGGCTTTCCAGGGACCAGGAATCTAGGAGAAATGGCACATTGGGGGGAAAGGAGAGGAAGTTCAGTTTTGGGTGTGTAGAATCCGACGGCTCGGGCAGAGGGTCTGTCACGGTGGTGCCCAGGAGCCACACGTGGCTGCAGATCTGGCTTAGAGAAACATGTCTGCGACTTACTAGCGTCAGGCCGAAGCCCTGGGAGTGGACGAGACTGCCCAGGCAGGGTCTCGGGGAGGGCAGAGAGGCCCTGGAACAGAACTGGGCCACACCCCTGTAAGCCCCGGGGTCAGGGTGGGGTGGGCGGTGGGGCTTGGGCGGGGGAAACGGTGTGAAGGGCAGCAGAGGTACAGGCTGAAGAGAAATTTTGTCATTCTCTGGCTCAAAGGTCTTTGCTGGCTCTCCACTACCCTCAGCATCACCCCCAAACTTCACATGCTTAAAAGGCCATTCGCCACGCAGCCACAGGACCTTTCCTGCGGTGAATGAGGGCTGCTCTGATCTGAGTCCTTGCACGCGCTCGGCTGCCCTGTCCACAGGCCTGTGCGCAAGTGACCTCCACCTAGAATTCTCCAGCACAGTGCTGCACGCCCCACCCCAGGTCTGCCCGCGGTCGGGCACCACCACTCAACATTCAGGTCTCACGTGGTGCCACTCTGGAAGTTTTCCTTAAGCACCAGATATTAATAGTTAGAAAAAGTTAAAGTCCCAACAAAGTGATAAACCTTAATACTGCACAGGACAAGCACAGTGACCCTCTCTCAAATAATCTTTTAAAAAATCTGCTACTGGGCGCCTGGGTGGCTCAGTCGGTTGAGCGACTGCCTTCGGCTCAGGTCATGATCCCAGGGTCCTGGGATCGAGTCCCACATCGGGCTCCCTGCTCCGCGGGAAGCCTGCTTCTCCCTCTCCCCCCTGCTTGTGTTCCCTCTCTCGCTGTGTCTCTCTCTGTCAAATAAATAAATAAAATCTTTTAAAAAAAAAAAAAATCTGCTACTGCCCCTTCCCCACCCAGCACCGCCCGAGTACTGCATGTCTCCTCGCCTCTCTTGGGCTGGCCTGAGGCTCCCTTCCAGGGCTGACCACAGGCAATTGTCAGGGACGTGTCATCTAAGCCGGTAACCATGTCTGAAAGAAAAATGCTGATGTGGTAAGAAACTGGGGTTCGGGAGTGGCCACGCTGTGAACCACTCCTTCTTTCCTTTCTACAGCGCAGTTCTTGGTAAACAATATCCTATAAATTTTGAGTGGATAGCTTTTTATTTTGCACACATTCTTGACTCCCATGTCTAGGATAGGTGTTCCTCCAACGTTAGAACAGGTTCCTCCTATACCTTCTAGTACCTTCTCTACGAACGTGTGCATCACCTACAACATGTTACTGATTTGCTGCATTGTCTGTGACCTTCTCCAGATGGGACAGTTTGAGGGCAGCGCCCTGGGCCTCCCGTTCACTGCTGGATTCTCAGCTCCTACCCCTGCTGGCTCAGAATGGCTACGCAATCACGGGCTGCAGCAGGGCGCAGGGCCGCTCCCATCCGCACTTGGTTCTCTCGATCGTCCTCAAAGATACAGACCAGCACTATTCCAACCGCTACTGCGTGTGGCAACCAGGACCCCCGTCTACAGCCTGACTTCAGAACCGCTGGTAGACCTGCTTTCTCTCTTCCTGAACTGGTATTTCTCGTGTGTTCTCTTTCAACTGTGAACACAATGCAGTTTTTCTGCAGACGATGTGTGGGGGCTAGCATGGTAAAGACACCGCTGTGCAAGGACACAGGCTCGGATTTTATTTTTAAAATTCTACCAAAAAAAAAAGAAAAAAAAAAAAAAGGCAAGGAGAAAGCCTGAGTAATCGACAGTGATGTTGTAAAAGTAAGACACTTAAAACATAATGGCCCCTACCGATCAGATAGCTAAGGTTACGGTAGAGATCCCACCCACTACTTACAAGCAAGTATCAACGTTTTAAAGCCCTGCTTTTCTCATCTGTCACTGGGAACCATGACACTGATCTCATGAGGTTGCTTTGAGGGCTGCCTGAGAGAGACTTAATATGAAGCACTTGGGAGAGTCTGTATGTGACACTATGGTTATTTTTATAGCACCTAAAATTAGGTAAGGAGATTAACTTAGCAGAATTTACTAAATTTTACAGAGCCATTATAGTTTAATTAAATACCCCAAATAGAATCTGAGACATTATATGTCTAGTATAGCTCTAGTAGATAGGTCTCTAGTACACTCACACCTAGTTGAGAACATTTATAATGTTCTAGGTAAAGGAAGAGGATACAATTCAAAGTCTATTCACCTATTTATTCAGGGGGTTCAGCTCCTGAAAGGGCATTTCCTCCACATTTAATTAATTATGTTGATCAAGGACAAAGCTTTGCTGTGATGAGGAGAAACCATGGCAGTTAACACATCCGTATGCTGATCCACATGAAATGCCAAGTAGGATATTAACACGAAACCATCTACCTGCACTAGTTCCGCACTGAGAACAGGAGGCATCTACTGCTTTAATAATATTCTGGATTTCCAGCAGATCACGTTAGTCTCCATATTTCTGTGTTAAACTGCAAACGGAGAGTACTGCCAGAGACCGTTCCCCAAATCTGATCTCCAGCTAGACCATTTACCTCGATGCTACCAGTCACAGATACAGAACCAGAGTTAAAAATGGAAACCTAAGCTCCAAGAATCAGCAGGTGTTCACCTCAGACAAACTTCGCCTGGTTAACAAGAGGGGGCTGCAGGGAGGCTGGGTCCTCTCATCCCCATGGTGTCTCCCACCGTGCAAAATCAGAAGGATGGGAACTCAGAAACCTTTCCTCTAGGCCAGGCCCATTGTACACTATCAAACAGGACAGCACAATCTGAGGCAGGTCTAAGGGTCTCCTACAGGGACTAAGTTTAAAATTAGTTGAGGTTTAACACAACCCATGAACACAGGCTATGTTTGGAGTCGTTTCTTCTCAGGAGCACTGTCCCCTCCTCTGGCACACACAGCTGCCTGAGCTGGGTCACTGCACAATCACCGAGGGTGGGCAAGAAGCTCATCCTATAAATGTGCCCTTTGAGACAGACAAGCCCCTTACGGACTCCAGCGAATGCTTTTCTATTTCCCAGGGAAGCAAATGTTCTCGTGTAAACCTGCTCAGGTGAGGGCCAGGTGCTGCCCCCCACAAGATTATACTGAGTGGCATCTTGGAGTCCAGATTCTCAATCAGGGAGGACGGCGTTTTAATCCCATCTGCTGCCACCTTCTCACTCTGGGGCCCTGGGTAATATTTAACCTCTCTATGCCATACCTTCCCCATCCATAAAATGGGCAGGATTCCACTTCCCTGACAAAGCTGCTCAGATTTCATGAGCTGAGGTCTCTGAAATGTTAATGTAACGCCTGCACCCCGCAATGATTTATAATGACTTCTACTGTTGCCATCATAATGACTGATAACCAGTTCAGCCAACCTAGGTCAGTTTTGTATAACGTCATCCAGTGATCAGAAACAAAGTTATTTGGAAAAACTGCTTTCACAGTCTGTTCCCTATTTACATTCTCTTGAGAAGTGTTTAAACAAGAGGTTATCGTATTTGCTCTGGTCTTTCTTAGAAAACACTTCTCATGTTTACTCAGCCAGGATGCTCTAATATTGGGCTTTATTGTAAAATGCTCAGTAATACTGTGAAATATAAATAACAGTTCCCTACAAACAAACATCGAGTAGAGTCTAGCAAACCAGGTTAGTATAAGAGTCCCTCTTCCCCCAACCTCCCGCCACTGCCATCTTTTTTCCGTCTCAGTAACAGCGGGTTATCAGCTTGCTGAAAAATGCTAGATCACTCTGTGCTTTTCTAGAGGGGTCCTGAAGGAAACGTTCATTCTCTCTAGTTCTAGGTTCTATCTACCAATTAATTAAAAGCACTGGAGTCGAAAGTTTACTCAGAAACTTCTGGCGCTGTGGCACAGCCATGGCAAGATCTGACACCCAAAACTTCCCATTTAAGGGCTTATAATTATTCTCCACAGAAGAAAGAGTTAAAAAGCCAACTGCTTTAGGGCATTTGGGAGAAGCAGGGATATTTATAGGAAAATATTAACATGCCAAGTCAATGCCCTCAATGAATGATTTCAAATAAAAAGTTTTATGATTTTGGTGAATTATATAGGGTATTATGTATTAATTTCTTACTATGAACTCAAGGAAAAAAAGCTAACTTAATTATCTTTTAGTTCCAGAAAGTCTAGTAAATAACTCTGTAATTCATAATTTTCACTAATTAGTCTTGGACAGCTCAGGATTTTTCCACATTAGTACAGTTTTACACTAAAAATAAGTTTGTCCTTCTTAAAGCGAATATAAGAGGAATTTTGTAATGAAGCATATAATAACAGTTATGCTATTAAGGTAGTAAGGAGCAAAAAGATAATTTTCTTCTACTATGGGAAAAGCTTAATCATGGAAGGACATAAGCCCATTTCCTTAGCATTTTCAGGGGCTTAAGGAACGCTCATTCTCCTGGGTCAATGGTCCACAGCACACTGGTGCTTCCACAAAGGTTCTGGATTTCAGGGGAGACAAATGGCAGTCCTTGAGCTAGGCTTTTGCAGTGTGGTACCTTTTCCAGAGTGAAGACCACTCACCAGCTTTCCTCTTTGCTGGGCTGACCTGGTTTCTCGCAGGGTGTACACGTCTCCACAGACAGAGATCTCACGCCAGACCCCAGGCTGGGACTCCTCAGTGAAGCCCCCTCGGGGGTGCATCACTAGGACGCCATTTGTAGTGAGCCCATCCATGTGGCCATCGGGGTTTTTCCACTTTGCTGCCTTTTCCTGGAGAGCATACCACAGAACAGAAAAAGCATGCTAAGATTAAGTTCAAAATGAAGGGATCCCAGAATCTCTTTAAGATACCCAGTATGGGCAGAAGGAAGGAAAGTGATGAATTTTCATTTTCTATTTAAAGCTAATAATCAGAAGGATAAAATATGCAATTACTCTGATAACATGAAAGTGCTAAAATGTATGAATGATTTATCACTGGATATGTATTATATTCATCTTGGGAGCTTAAAAAAAAAAAAAAAAAAAAGGAACCTGATGCCTGAGCCCTTCCCTCAGAGATTCTTTTCTATCCAAACCCCTGACCCCTGGGAGATTCCAGGAATCTAGTATGTGTTCTTCAGTTCTATTTGTGCAATCCTTTCACCTCTTATGTACCAGTGCTTTACATGTAATCATCACCTGGGAAGTATACAGAAGGAAGGGGAAAAAGGAATTTTTACTAAACATACAAAATTTTAAAAAATGTTAGGCTAACAAGTTGTGGCCAGTATGTCTTGATAAATATCAATGTTTATATACTCAAAGATGGAAGGTAAAGACAGCTTGATATAATGGCAGGACAAACACTCTTGGATGCCTGTGCCAGCAATTTCTCTTTCTTGAGGACAGAGCCAGATACTGCTCACATGACTCAGGAGTCAGTTTTGATTAGGATAAGCCCTCTTGCCAGCGACTCAGCTCTGGCCAATGAGACATGAGTGGGTCTTCTAGGAGCCTTCCTGGTAAGGTTCCTTTGCTCTAAAAAGAGAACAGGAAGGGGGGAATGACATCAGCCTCCCAGCAGCATGGGTCATTCCTTTTTCCTTGCCCCTTGGATTTACAACTAATCAGACATCCATAACCAAGCAAGAACATGGCTGCGCAGCATCCAGATCACCTGAGAGAGATCCATACATTCATGCCCCTGAAACTGGGTGCATCACAGAGGAGACAGCAGAGGGGAGTCACTGGGGAGCCAGAGGTGACAAAGGCAGTGGCCGGTGGGCAGGGGGATAGCACGACCTTTTCTGACAAAGGAGGTGGAGGGTGAAGGAGGTTAAGTGGGGGTCTGCCCCACATATGTTCTATAGCTGGAAGGACCCACTGCTGTCTCTGAGGAAAAACTGCAGTGAGTGGGGGGAGGGAAGTAGGCAAAGAGAACTTCAGGGAAGGGTCTTCTACTGTCTGCCCCAGGGTTCTGGTCCATGGATTTCTTGGACCACCCCCTCACGCCCCCACCCCAACTTGAAGATTCCCCTACCAGGCTGTGGGCACATCAAAGTCCCAAGAACTAAGTACATACCTCCCCCAGCTCTGCTGCATCCTCCCATTCCTTTTCCCTTGGTGCCCACTCCCAACCTCTGAAAAGTCAGCCCCTACCCCTGAAGATAAACCAAAAATGTGTGCTATAGTGCCACCTTCTGGAAAACAAAAGAAAGGCTCCTAACTACCAACATGTTGAACTGTTAGAATCAAAGTAAACAGAACCTTGCCTAAATAGGGTGTTCCCTACTTCCAGTGTGAGGACAGAGGCACTTTCAATCAAACATCAAGAAAAATCAGTCATACAGTATCACAAAAGGAAAATGACAATTTTCCAGCAACTGAACCCAAAGATATGGAATATTGCAATCTAATGGATACAGAATTCAAAACAGCGGTTATGAAGAAATTTAATGAGCGACAAGAAAACTGAGAATGGCAATACAATGACCTCAGAAATAAAACTGACAAACAGAAGGAATACTTTACCAAAGGCACCAAAATTCTTAAAAAGAACCAAACAAATTCTGGGTCTGAACAACTCAATATATGACATGAAGAATGCATTAGAAAGCACTGGAAATAGAGCAGATCAGGTGGAAAAGAGAATTTGCAAACTGGAAGACAGAAACACAGAAATGATTCAGATGGAAGAGAGGAGAGAACTAAGATTTAAGAAGTGAAGAAACACTACAAGAGCTAGCAGACTCCATCAGAAAAGCCAACATAAGAATAATGAATTTTCTGGAAGGAGAAGAAAGGGAGAAAAGGACAGACAGCATATTTAAAGAAATAATTCCTGAGAACTTCCAAAACTTGGGGAAAGACCTGGATATACAAAGTCTATGAAGCCAACAGAACATCTTATTATCTCAATGCAAGATCTTCTCCAAGACACACTGTATTAACTATTAAAAGTCCATGACAGAATTTTAAAGGCAGCTAGGGAATAAAAAGACAGTAACCTACAAAGGAATCCCCATCAGGCTATCAAATTTCTCAGATAAAAACTGCCAGCCAAGAATAGTCTACCCAGCAAAGTTATGCTTCAGATATAAAGGACAAGTAAAGGCTTTCTCAGACAAACAAGAGCTGAGGGAGTTCACCATCTCTAGATCTGCCTTACAAGAAATGCTGAAAGGAGCTCTTCAAGCTGAAATGAAAAGACGGAGGCACACAAAACTGATTAAGGTGACAGAATTAGAAACTGCAACTCTTTGTAGTAATATGCTAAACTCTAAACTCCTAATGATAGCATAAAGGTTGAAGGCCAAGAGCATGAAAAATACCTGTTATTAAAAAATAATAACAACTACAGCTACTACAACGTGGTAACAAAATCACAGCATAAAAAAAGATAGTTTGTGATATGAAAAAGATAAAAGGAAAAGAGTAAAAGGATTGAATTTTCATAGGCAAAAGAAGAGAAATTGCTATCAGCAGAAAAAGGACTATTTTATCTATGAGTTGTTTTATGTAAACTTCATGATAACCACAAAGCAAAAATCTAGAGCAGAGACACAAAACATCAAAAGTGGGGGAAGCTGAGCAAAAAGCACCATGGAAAACCACTAAGGTACCAAGGCAGGTAGAAATGAAAGGAAAAAGAAACAATAGAGAGACAAAATCACTAGAAGGCAAAAGAGAAAATGGCAGTAGTAAGTCCTTACATATCAAGAGTCACACTAAATGTAAATGCACTGAACTCAGCAAAAGGCATAGAGTGGCTGGCTGGATTAAAAACAACAAAAGACCCAACTATATGCTGCCCTGCAGGAGATTCATACCAGCTTTAAAGACACACATAGGCTCAAAATGAAAGGATGAAAGATTATATTCCAAGCAAACAGAATCCAAGAGAAGGCTGGTATAGTCATACTTACATCAGACAAAATAGATTTCAAGCCAAAAAGGGTAATAAGAGACAAAGTCATTACATAATCATAAAAGGGTCAGTACATCAAGAAAACATAATGATTGTAAATATATATGTGCCCAAAATTTGAGTACCAAATTATATGAAGCAAATAATAATAGATCTAATAGAGAAATGGACCACAATATAATAATTGTAGGGGACTTCAATACCCCACTGTCAGGAATGGATGGATGTTTCAGACAGAAAATCAACAAGGAGACATTGGAACTGAACCACACTTTAGAACAAATGGACTCAGTAGACATATATAGAACATTCTATCCAACAGTAGCAGAACATTTTTCTCAAGTGCACTGGAACATTCTCCAGGAGAGACAGGATAGGCCACAAAACAAATTTTAGCAAGTTTAAGAAGACTAAAATCATATCAACTATCTTCCCTGACCACAGTGGCATGAACCAGAAAAGTGACAATGAAAGGGAAGTGAGAAGATCTACAAATATGTGGAAACTAAACAACTCCCTTCTAAAGAACCACTGAGTCAAAGAAGAAATCAAAAGAGTAAATATTATCTTGAAACAATTGAAATTGTAAACACAACATATCAAATATTGTGGGATACAACAAAAGCAGTTCTGAGAATCCTATAGCAATAAACATGCATATTAAGAAATTAGAAAAGTCTCAAATAAACAATCTAACTTTACACTTCAAGAAACTAGAAAAAGAAGAATAAAGCAAGCCCAAAGTTAGCAGAAAGAAGGAAATAAGGATCCAAGCAGAAATAAATAAAATAGAGACCAGAAAAACAACAGAAAAGATCAGTGAAACTGAGAGCTGTTCTTAAAAAAGATAGATAAAAATCGACAAATCTTTAGCTAAACTAAGAAAAAAAGACGACTCAAAATTAGATATGAAAGAGGAGACGTTATACCTGGTATTACAGACATACACAGAATCATGAAAGACTGCTAGAATGTAGAAGAAATAGATACATTTCCAGAAACACACATCTACAAGACTGAATCAAGAAGAATCAGAAAATCTGAACAGCCCAATAATGAGTAAAGAGATCAAATCAGTAATTAAAAAAAAATCCCAAGAAAACCCTAGGACTAGTTGGCTTCAACTAGAGAATTCTACCAAACATTTAAGGAAGAATTAACACCTTTGTGAATGGTGTTAGAGAATGGTCGAGTTTCATTCTTCTGCATGTGGCTGTCCAATTTTCCCAGCACCATTTATTGAAGAGACTGTCTTTTTTCCATTGCATGTTTTTTCCTACTTTGTCAAAGATGCTTTGACCATAGAATTGAGGGTCCATATCTGGATTCTCTATTCTGTTCCATTGGTCTATATGTCTGTTTTTGTGCCAGTACCATGCTGTCCTGGTGATCACTGCTTTGTAATATAGCTTGAAATCGGGCAACGTGATGCCCCCAGCTTTGTTTTTCTTTTTCAACATTTCCTGGCGATTCGGGGGTCTTTTCTGATTCCATACAAATTTTAGGATTGTTTGTTCCGGCACTTTGAAAAATGTCATTGGAATTTTGATCAGGATGGCACTGAAGGTATAGATTGCTCTGGGTAGCATAGACATTTTAACAATGTTTATTCTTCCGATCCATGAGCATGGAATATTTTTCCATCTTTTTGTGTCTTCTTCAATTTCTTTCATGAGTGTTTGTAGTTCCTAGAGTATAGATCCTTTACCTCTTTGGTTAGGTTTATTCCGAGGTATCTTATGGTTTTGGGTGCTATTGTAAATGGAATTGTTTCTCTAATTTCTCTTTCTACAGTTGCATTGTTAGTGTATAAGAAAGCAACTGATTTCTGTGCATTGATTTTGTATCCTGCCACATTACT